TTTCCACATCTCCACTGTGGCCGGAGTTTTCAGTCACTTGTAACTTCATTTACCAAAAGGCCAATTAAAATATCTTCATTTTTGCTACGGGGCCTCAGTCCATCGGTCTAAAACTGAGAAGCTTCTGCTGTTTGTTTTAGAACCTTGTTGATGCCGTTAAACTGAAATCAGGTGGACTCAATTTAGCTTCAGTGATCACAGGTGGATTCACTTTTACTGCTCTGGGTTTCTACTTTGGGGCCTAATTTCTGTATGTTTCCTTTCTAAAGTTGCATATTAGCTTGTTATGTGATAAAAGTTCAACGTTTGCCTCTCAGGTGTTTTCTTGGTTGAACATTAACACAGAAATCCTGAACTAACCCTCTGAACTCCGAGCAGTTCACCATGAAGAGAGAACTCAGAAATGTCTTCTGTGCACTTTGACAGTTTAAGTTTTATTTAACAATTTTAAAATATTGCTGTTGGAATTTTTGTCATGTCACTGTTGGGTCCAGCTGAGTCCTTCATGGCTTCACGGTTACAGCGAGGAGAGCAGAATTTTTCGTTTTTTACGAAATCTTGTTGTATCACTATGTTTATTTTTGGCAAATTTTTAAATGAGACATAAACCATGAGGCGTGCATTGTCGGAGGTTGAGCATCTTTCTGTTGTTTTACAGTTTTTGGCTCTGATAAACGGTGTCATGTTGGTGATTTTTAACTCTATCATGCCCGTTGAAGCTGCCAGCAGGCCTCAGGGTTTCACTCTTCTACTGCAGCTTTCCAATAATCTCACCTAAAACTACTTCTCGGTCACCTGCTTTGTCATTCATGTGAAGTCACAGCCCAGATTAAATGTTTGCAGCTCATTCAGAAGAGAGAAACTCCCTGTTTCCACTTAGTCATGTCCTCGGAAAAACCCTCAGATGCACAAGAGGCGCTGTGCCTCCCCGTCGGCAGCAGCAGCAGCAGAGGTGTCGGTATGTCAGGAATGTACAGGCCTGAGCTCAGGAAGAAGATGTCGTATCAGAGAAACCAAACAGCATCTTGTGCAGTAAAACGTAATCAGGCTGCAGCAGCTTCCAGTAATCCCAGTTCATCAGAAACCTGTGGAGGATTTTCAAACAATGGCCACATCTGGATGGCAGCATGATGCGGCCGCTTGAGAACAATGGAGGGAGCTGCTGCAGGGCGTGGAGGGCGTCGGGTGCAGGGGTGAGCCGGGTCTGGGTGGGACCGCGGGAAATCTGCCGGTTCTGTCGGACCGCCGCAGGGTCGAGATTTATCAGAGCGGCTCATCGCAGGCTGATGTCAACACTTTGGTGGATCAGCAGGGACGTGGTGTGAACGCATCGTGTGGAGAGTTCATGTCCAGAGAGCCGGAGACAAAGACTGGAAGCAAAGACGACACCTTTTGATAATAAATGAGGCTTTTTGATCTTTGGTTTGAATCTGAAACCATGTGAAGCCTTTGACAGAGAAAAAACCGAGTGTTTGATTTGTTGTTTTAATCAGCAGCAGCAGCAGACACACAATCCAGCACACAGAAAAAATACAATTAAAATTTTTTAAAAATCCATAAAAAAGACAATGAAAATCTGGCAGCAAGGGTGTAAAAATATGGTTAAAAAATAAATAAATAAGTGTTTTTATATATTAAAAAAGTTTTTTTTTTAAATAGTAAGAATGTGGAGAAAACGCGAATATCTGTTAAATAATTTTTTACGTCATTTTATGGTAATTAATTGTAAAAGATTGAATTTTGACTTACAGTTTTTTAAAACCTAAAATCGGAGCTATCACACGAAACTGTTTACAAAATTACAATTACACAAAAAATATGAATTTACATAATTATTGTAAAAAAAATAAAAAAATCAGGAGCTTTGTGTACAAGACCTCATGTAAAGTTTTGGCTTGTTTTCTTTTTTTTGTTTAACAAAACATATATAATCTAACTTTTAGCAGATTTTATACTGTGAAAATGGTCATTTTACAATCTAATATTAGAAAAACACAAATTACTGTTTGTAAAAATTTTTGACATTATTTATGGCAAAAAAAAGTAAAGTGACAGTTAAAAACATTGACTATTTTTCACTGCTAATATACGTAATTTTGCTTTTAAATGTCAAATATTTGTAAAATGAGGCTATTTTTTGTGTAACTTTATGGTCAAACATTGCAAAACAATAAATGACCTTTTATAAAAATACAGAAAACAACATTTTACCAAGTGTCCACATGTGCTACCAACAGCGGAGACAATGTTGACTCTACATATTATAGATATTCTGCCACTTATGTTTGAAATTCTCTTCAGACTTGAACACAGGCTGCAGTTCAGCCGAAAACTTTGGATGTTGTTGTCACGTGACTGTTGGTCTCAGTTGAGTCACTGATGGTTGATTTTTTTTTTTTTTACAGAATCTGCTTCATGTAAACTGTTTATTTTTGGTCATTTTTGAATGAAACACGTAGAACAAAGTGATGCTGATGAACAATCCCAGCGCTGGGCTCAGGCTTGGTTCAGTTTTCTGGCAGAACAGTGTACTACAGATGAGCAGTTCAAAGACCATCGGAAAGCTGAACATCCCCTGAAAAATATGAACTCATTTTAAACGAAAACACGTCTTTCAAACCCAGCGGCTGGTTTTGGGGTTCAGAAGGTAAAACAGCACGTCTTCACTCCACTTTCATGCATCTTTTTGAACATTTAGTAGCCTTTAGGAGCTCTGATGCCTGATGACGCTCAAACGGCTCGTTTTCAGGCACCAGCTGAGAACTGAACAGCCTGAAGCAGACCTGAGTGACATGTGATGCCTCCATCCATCACCGGCAACGGTAACGGAGGCTGTTTAACTCCCTTCAAACGTCAGGTGAAAACATGGAACAATGATGTGGTTGTGGTGTTAAGAGCCCAGTTCCTCGGCCGGTGTCCACCGTACGAGGCGTCTTCAGCTCCGTCCTGCCAACAGGAACTCCCTCGCTCCTCTCCCAGCTTCCTGCCATTGTTCTGCTGGCTGCCAGCAGCCGAGGCTCCGCCCAGGATCTGGGAAAAGGTGGGATGTTACAGCGGCACATTTCCCCTTTGATCAGCTTCGCCCTCAGCCGGGGGAGGAGGAGGTCCTGGCTTCATACGACACCATGTTCACATCTGAGCACCATGTCAGCACTCAGCGGTGCAGATGTGACAGATGCTGGAAGCTGAATGTGTCGTTTAAAGCTCAGAATGCTGTCAGCTGACCTCCTCTGTCACTGCTGATCAGAATCAGATCAACATTTAGTTTCTTCCAACCTGCGTTCACATTCATGTGTTTTTCAGTTGTTGTGGTGCTTCATCCATCAGTGGTCGTCAGTTCTTCCCTACGCTGTAGTTATTGTAGTTGCCTCTGACGAAATCTGTCTGTAAATGGTCCCCAGCTCGAGTGCTGAAGTCCAACAAGTATTTTACAGGTGAGCTAGGAATGGCCTCTGCTTGGAATGATTAGATTTTGGGGTCAGTCAGTGCAAAAGCAGCTCCGCTAGAAGTCAAAGGGGACTTTTCTCAAAAATGCCTTCAAAAGAGTGGACGGTGGTTTTATGGTGTTTGGTGCAGATAAGCAGCCATGTTGGGGGTTTCTGTTGGTGATGCCACGTTTGATGTTGGATGATATCTCAAGGTCAAAGGTCAAGCTGGATGGAATAGAGGTCAAGAGCAACTGCATCCCTCTACTGAGGGCCCTGTGCTTATATATTTGTTTCTATGTATTATTTTTTTTCATGTGTTTTAATGGAGGAAACATCTATGCAAAAGAGAACAAAAATATATATTTTTCCAATTCTTTTTCCTCTTTTATAAACATATTCTTACATCCTAATGCATACATAAGGTGTAAATGTATTGCTATGAGTTTGATTCCTTCCTTTTTTCCCCCTTTATTTATTCCTCTAATACATTATTCTATGTAAAAGAGCAAAAAAGCAAACACAGGTAAAGGGGGATGTAGTTTGAGAGATCTCTATATAAAACAATATTTTTTTTTCTCTATTCTGTCATATTCTTATCACTTATATATTTAAAGGTATATTTCCTTTCTTTCTCTTTCACATAGAATGTCTCCTCAAGCAATTAATATGCAGCACTTGACATAAATAAAATGAATAAAAAGCCAAAGGGTTGAGAGAAAGCTGAGAGTAGCTTGTAGTTTTCTGTGTTTGAAGCATCATGTGGTCAGTAAAGAGAAGGTTGGAGCTGAAGTGTAACCAGCAAAGGCAGCTATTGATCAAGTGAATGAGCAGCAGCAGGAATGATTTGGATGCAAAAATGTGGAAAAAGGACAAAAAGTTGCAAAATAAACTGAATTAGGCTAAAAAGATGAAAGACTAGTGAGTGCAGGACGTATTCCCAGTGGAACTTTATCACTTTGTTGACAGAGAACTGCCTCCGACCAGCGTCGCTCAGCGGTGAGAACTCTCCTCCGGCTCTGACTTTTCATGCCAGTGAGAATAACTGAGGCCGGTGTTGTGATCCTTTCTCATGATCCCCTCCCGGGGTTCTTCAAGTGTTTTCAGAGGGGCATCCGTGAGGTGGAGGGTGCACAGGAAGGAAAAGGCGTAGCTGGGAAATCTTATCGAGGCTCCTCGTCCAGCGAGAGAGAGAGAGAGAGACATCGGCATCAGGATCTGGGCGTCGCTGCCAAGTCATCTCAGGGTCGCAGACTCCGAGAACACATTCGACTGAATCTGATGTTTGCTAGCAGAGAGATCCTAAAGCACACATGCATGCAAAGAGGAGGCTTTAACCCGCACACCTGTTTAGATTCACAACGTGAGTCATCTCAGGACACTTACATGAAGACATTACAGTGTTGTTTAATGGAGGGAAACCCAACAAATCTGCTCTTTGGCGACAGTAAGAAGAAAAACCTTTAAATTCAAGAACTTTCCAGCAGAACCAGGCTCAGGGAGGACAGAGGTCTGCTCCAGCCAGTCAGGGTGAGGGGACGTCAACACGAAGCTCTGTTCCAAGACTTTATCCAGTTTAAAAAGAAGAAAATAAACCCATCCATCCATCCATTTTCTTCCGCTTTATCTGGAGTCGGGTCACGGAGGCAGCAGCCTTAGCAAAGCCGCCCAGACTTCCCAATCCGCACAAAATAAAACCCCAAATATTAATAAAACTAAAAGCAAGAAACTAAAGTATTTGCTAGTTGTCAGTGTTTTAGCATTCACATTGTGAGCATGTTAGCATCGCTGGTCAAACCTCAGCACAATGTAAGAAGAGCAGCTTTGTGTTTATGTCATGGCAACGTGAGCATTGTACCATCACCTGGTTGCCATGGTAGCATCCTGAATACAGTAAACATTCAAACTACGTAGCATCATTACACTTACCATTTTAGAATTAATATAGAAAACATGATGCCTGTTTAGCATGTTAGCGTGCTAATGTGAACATCCTTAACTTTAAAGCTACTTAGCATTGGCATGTTAGCATGTTGACGCTGTTGTTAGCATTTAGCTCACAGCACTGCCTCACAGAGTAGCTACCTGCAGAAAAACTGCAATAAATGTGCAAAGACTTTTTTCTTTTGTCAAATAAATGCATTCGTGCAGGAAACACTTGAATCCATCTCTTGTGCTGCTGAGCAACAACCTGCAGGAGGTTTAGTGTCGTTCCAAACTGAGCAGCTTTTATAGGAAAACTTGCTATTAAAAAAAATGATGTAAAAATGTACAGTTTGATTCCTCCCTCCCCACACTTGTACCTCACGCTTAAATTTTCCACGCTCGAAATGAAAATAGCCGCCCCGGCTAAAAATGACCACCTCGACAGATGTGCAGCGAGCTCGGGCTGCAGGAAACGGCGAGAGTGTCACGTCTTTCAGCGAGCGAGGAGAGGCGAGGTCGACCCAGAAACATGTGCTGCCTGAACTTTGGCTCTTTTTCTTCCTGTAAGGACGCCTTCGCTCTCCCTCTTCTACTTTTTTTGATTTTGTTCGCTCACACGCCCAAACAGACAATGGCGGAGAGAAGCGTGCAGCCAGGTCACATTTTCAAGCTGATGTTGGGTTTATGTTTGATATATTTAAAGAAATAATGAAGTTAATTACTAAAGTTTGTGTTAATTTATCCTAACAGGCAGAATGACCTCCCCCTGTGAAATCAGGTAAAAGCACTCAGCGGTGATTCAAAGCCTGAAATGAGAAGCACCGGCTCCCTCTGGTGGTGAGAAAGTTGCATTTCCAAAGCAAAATGCTGCCGTTGACGAAGCGGGGGGACCGAGCGTTTATTCATCTGTTGTTGCTTTAGTTTGTGGCAGGAGCACAGTCAGTCCAAAGAAAGACATTTATTCCACATCCACAGTCACACAATAAACAAATAATCTGCAATTTACAGTCATATGTTGCATTTACAGTTACAGGATACAAAGGTTTTCTGGTGAAAGAGTAAATGAGTTCCTGTGCAGAACTTAATAATTTAGATTCAAGCTTGAATTTCTTGTTTATTCCATTAAAATTAAAAACTACATATCTCTATATCAACTCTATCCAGGCCTCTGGATGTGCATTTACTGGAGAAAAAGTTTGCTTTTATTCACTATAAACATTCACTTCTATCGTGAACGATTTCCAAAATCCCAGCTTATGCAGGTTTACAATCCATCTAAACCCCTCTTACTTCTTATTTCGAGATTGTAAAATTAAGGACGAGGTGAATAAATTAGCGTCCAGCTCTCGCAGCCGTTTGCGAAGAATGGCAGCAATGAAACATCTAACCTTCATCGGCTCACAGAAAGAGGCGTCCATATGCTATATTTTCTGGTGTTGTTCCTCCTCTTAAAAAAGGGCGATTCGTCTTCCGACTTTATGAAAAGCACACGGGGCCGATGTCGAGGCCAAACTCCTGATCGGCCTTTCCAATGTCCACTGGGGCCAAATCCACGACGGGCAGCCTGGCCGGAGTCTGAGTCCTGTACTCCAACACTGTCTTGCTCCATTCTCCAGTTGATTTCTAGAGAAAAAAGAACAAAATCAAGCATCTTCTAATCGTTTTTCAAAAAGTCTCAAAAAGTGCTTTATCGGAGTCTTACCGAGCAGCCGTCCTCGATGACGGTGTACCGCAGCCGGTTGATGCCTTGCGCTCGCAGCTCTTGGCCGTTGGAGCCTTTGAGGACCAGAGATTTCTTCAGGGTGCCCTTGGCGTCTTTATAAGCCAGGCTGTTCCTGCAGTGGTAGGTGACCGTCTGGTGCGACTCTTTGGACAGAAGCTGCAGCAGCTTCAGCTGAACCGCCACCGCGTTGGGCTGCTCATCCTTGTTGCCGTATCCAAACTGAAATGTGAATTTGACACGATTACAACCTCTGAATGCTCTTTATGGGAACAAAGATTGTCTCTGAATGCCGCCCAGGTAAAACTCCTGGATTCTTACTCTATTTCCACCGTTCATATCAGCGCCGAACCAGACAGGCTTGTTGGGGTTGGGACTGGATTTCGTCCACCAGGCTTTTCGGGGGATGTTGGTCGGGTTGGCAGAGACGCAGGTTTCACCAGTTTCCATGTTGCAGAAGACCTTGATGGCATCTTTTATGCTTCCTTGGTTTGGATCTATCCAGTAGTCACCTGCATCAAAGGTAAAAAAATAAAAAATAATAATAATCAGCGAAAAGCAAATCTAAAGAAGCAGCAGAAAGTAAAACGAGAAGCAGGATCCTGACCGCTCATCTTCTGGGGGTAGCACTGCTTGATGTCCTGGCAGGTTTTCGCCGGGTTCATCTTGCTGCCGTCGGGGCTGCGGAGGTTCTGCAGATGTCCACTGAGGGTCTTCAGCGTGGCGTGGACGCCGGTTTCTGCGCGCAGGACGGCCGAGTTCTTATTGGGAAGAGCTTCGTCTTTGTTGAACTCCGGAGGCGGAGGAGGATCGGCGGCTACGTCGTATTCGGAGAACTCCACGGCTTCTGGAACGTCGCCGTTGCCGTCGTAATCGACCGGGGCAACGAAGAGGTCTTCCACGGCGGCGGTGGGAGGGCCTGGGGAGCCTGGAGGGCCGGGGGGTCCGGGTTCACCAGGAGGACCCTGATACAGACATCAATTATGTAGATTTAAATATATGATTTTGCTTATATGATACCTTTCGAGCTACATTTAAACAGGACACCATTTTTCTTCCGGAATAAAGATTTTAAATGAGAGCTTTATTTACACACCGTTGATTAAAGTTTAGGAACCTGAGAGAATAAATAAATATCAACAGCACTGAGCTGATTAATGAAACTGGTGGTGTATAAATGTCACCCAGCAACACTTTTTGTACATCCTGGATTAAAACGCAGCTTAAAACTGTTCAATTTGCAGCAGGTTGGTGATTAAATATCTCATCTTTCAGGAATATTCCTCTAAAACTCTGCTTTGGTCTGAATTCACCTGCACTGACTCAAACTATTACAGATTAAGATGAGTGAAGATGTTTTGTTAGTTCTGTTTTGCTGCTTATCGGGGTTTCAAAATAATGACATCGTGTCACCTGAGCTCCGATGTCTCCACTGGATCCTCTGCTTCCAGGAGCGCCCATTGGTCCAGGCTGCCCGATATTTCCTTCCTTTCCTATTGGCCCGGTCACTCCTGGAGGCCCCTGTGTGGTTATTAGACAAGCAGATATTAATTATATGAAATAAAGTGTTTTTATTTTGGGGATTTTGTGTGATTTTAAAGAGGACTTACTCTCTGTCCAGCTGGTCCAACAATCCCTGTCGCTCCTGCGTCTCCTGTGGCGCCCTGAAACAGAAAAGTGAACCTTGATTTTAAACACAGTCATACCGACACAGATGAACCATCTGTTAAGTTGTGGGTGTTTCTACCAACACAGGGTTACCTAATAACTTTCTAAATGAGCCTCGTGTAGCTTTAGAAGCTCAGTGTTTTTCTTACGGTTATTCCAGGCAGGCCGTGGAGGCCGGTGAACCCTCTGTGTCCTTTCTGGCCCCTCTCTCCAGGCTCTCCGGCTGCTCCTTTATCTCCCTGTGGCCCTTGAGGCCCCTAAAAACCGGCACAGGATGACAATTCAGCACATGATGTCTCATTTGGTCGTTTTAAAATCTTGTTTTTTGCCAATCCAAAAGGTGGAAAACTCTCGACTTACCACTTTTCCTCGTACTCCGGCTGGTCCTTGAGGTCCCTGGGCACCTCTGGCTCCCTGAATTCAAAACAATCCAAGAGACAAGACAGAACATTTGAGACAACAGATGTTTGCGTGTGAATAGCGGCTGTATCATTAAATGTAACCCTTTGAGCCCCAAAACTAAAATTACATTTCAAATCTTAATCAATATGTTGAAGGCTTTATGGTTTGTGACAATACAACTGTGTCATCCTGCACAGGAGACGTTTCTGGGTTCTCTCTACTTCCATAGAGGTTCAGGACTTTATACTGCAGTTAAAAATGAGCCCACAGTGGGTTCAAATGTAACAGGACCACAACCCACCCATAAACAATGCTCAGAGTTTAGAGGGTTAGAACTGTATTAGTTGTATTTCTTACGTTGTCGCCTCTTTGTCCTGGACTGCCAGTCAGTCCCACCGGACCCTCAGTACCTGGAGACCCTGTCACACCAGCCAGACCCTCTGGACCAGGATTTCCCTTGTCTCCCTACAAAAACATAAACAAGACTATAAATACTACACACCAAGCCACAATCCAACACAAACACACTGAATGTAAATCATATAATCTCACCCTCTCCCCCACGAGACCGTCTTTGCCAGGAGACCCCTCTGCTCCAGCGATGCCCTGAATAAACAGATAATGACATGAAGATCTTTCAACATAAAGATCTGACGGGGGGAAAGGGAAAACTGTGCTCTTGTGATGGCAGGGAAGCACAGAAAATATGAGAGAAGAAGTACAAATTTGCGGTATAAAAGGCTGAATCGTCTGCAAAGAATTTTTTAAAATGAAATTAGTTGGTTCTTTTCAAATATTTGCTTAAATTTTTAGGTATTACAAGTGTTGCTGCTGCACAAAAACCACAAAACCTGCAAATCCTGTTGTAATAGCTGCTGTTCTGACTGAAATGTACATTTTAAAAGATGCTTCAGTACAGTCCAGCCAGCAAAGGCAGCAAAAGCATCATCACTTTTAGAGAAATTAGTCCCAAAGAGTAAAGAAGTTTGTTTTTGGAGCTACAATCAAACACCAAGTAGTGATTCAGTGGTTCATGTTTCCTAGAAACAAGCAGCACTGTCAGACATTATAGAGTCACAGTGCCTCCCATCTGACCGCCTCAGAATTAAAGTAAAACTTAGCATGGTTTTATGAAACATCGCTAGTTTGGTGTAGATACAGAACCAGCTGATTCTGAGGGGGTCAGGTAGGAGCTTTTCTTATACATTGACCCACGAGATAAACACCTTGATTCAAAGCAGTGGAAACAGCAGCACAAACCTCAGGTCCGGCGTCTCCTCTCGGTCCGGTGGCTCCTGGTAAACCAACTCCTCCGGCAGGACCTGCGCCTCCCTGAGTTCCAGGAGTTCCTGCTTTTCCTGGTGGACCCTGAGAAACAAACAAACACTGAAATCTCAAAGCGATAACTGTGGAGATGTGGAGTGACGTGGAGGCTAACATCTTCAGTACGTACAGCAGGACCCGGCAGTCCCAGCAGGCCTCTCTCTCCTCTCAGTCCTGGCTGACCCACGACTCCTCGCTGTCCCGCGGTGCCGGCAGGTCCTGGTGGTCCGTCAGGGCCCTAATGAGGAAACACAAGAGCCGATAAGCAACATATGCAGATTTATTAATGTAACACAAATCTTCGCTGCGTCTCACCGGTGGACCGTCCTCTCCAGAGTCTCCCTTCTCTCCAGGGCTTCCCGCCGGACCCGGATGTCCGCTCTCGCCTTGACGTCCCACAGCTCCGTTCTCTCCGTGGATCCCAGCAGGACCTGACTTTCCTGGAGCACCGATGGGTCCGTCTGCACCAACGGCACCCTGAAAGCAAAGCAGAAGCTACTGAAAAGCCTTTTCACACATAGAACACAACAGTACTGCCTCAGAAGTGACAGCATTCTGTAATTCAGACTTTATTCAGGTGTTTCAGGGTTTCCACTCAGTCTAATGCATAAAAATAAATCTGAACTGCCGTGTGTGATGATAATCAAACTACAGCAGCTTGAAATGTGACTGGATATTCATTGTATAACTTAGCTGGATTTGATAATTTTGACCACGTTATTTATCAGCATTACTCATGAGATGAAGTTTTAAGCTCAGTTCGTTTTTTTTTTTTTTGCACAACTTACGAGAGAGCCGGGTGGACCAACTCCTCCAGGCAACCCAGGAAACCCAGGAGAGCCCTGCAGGAAGAAAACACCTCAAATAAGATGCACTTTTAATAAAATGATGTAGAGTGCGACTGTGCTGGAAAGAACAGGATCACAATGTGCAGCCTCAGCTCACCGTTGGACCCTGCGTTCCTCTGGCTCCTTTCAGTCCAGCGACACCAACAGGCCCCTGAAAACACAGAACTGATGAGATAATCTTGCATTTCTTTATATAATCAAAGTATCTGAGCTGATGACCTTTTACTGGAAGCTGAAGTGACTTGCTCATGAACAAAAACGTAGGTCTGATGCAGCAGGTTTTTTTGGTGATGCAAGAAAAATGCTTTTACATGTTCTTGTTGTAATAACAGTATGGATGCTGGATGGAGCAGCACCTACAAACATTAACATTCGTAACTTCTAAGTGCTGCTGTTGTTTCATCTAACATCCTTGTTGCTCATACAACAAGCACAGTCAAGGTATTTTATTATTGTATCACCCAAAAATAAAAACATTTTTGCCCAAAATTTATGTAAAAATATGTGCCATTAACTATCGACCTGTGATTATATCCACAACTCTCTCTCTGGAGACGCTGATGTTGCAGGTATCTGATAAACTCAGACGAAATACTCCTAAACAACTGGAAGCAACAAACTGAGCTTCAGCTGCTGTTAGTCAAAACCTGGATCCCATTCATTACTGGTTACAGACTGTCTTCATCGCAGTAAACTTTCCTTTTAATGAATATTTATAACCAGAAGTCTGACGCAGCAGATTGCATTTAATGCTTTTAAATGTTTTCGTATGAACGTTGACTGATATTTTTATTAATTACAAAACAACAGCACGACTTATAAACTGATATGTGTACATATTTGTCCTTTAAAAGTGTTGCTGTTGTTTTGCAATTAATAAAAATATCATGTAGGTAAAACAATAAGGACATTAAAAGCTGTTTTTTCTCGCATCAACAAAAAAAGTAGTTTACAATTAAAACAAAATAACTGTTGACCTGAATACATGTAAAATGATCCATGTGACTGATGTTGATTTGAGAAGTTATCAAGCAATAAATAAAGGTTTGTAAAAAAAAACCAACAACCTTAAATTCCATCACAAAGATCCTTTTCACAGTTTCCATAATGGTTCTAGACCACTGAATGTTGATGTGACCGTATAAAATTTGAAAAAAAGTACATCATTTGTTGGATTTAAACATCACAGACTTTAATCAGACATGTGTACCTGAGTTCCTGGTTTCCCGGCCATCCCCTGAGGTCCAGGTGCTCCGCCTTCGCCCTTCTTTCCTGTCTCACCTGTTTCACCTTTGACTCCAGGCTGACCGTCAACACCCTGAGGAAAAAACAAGAAAACAGAGAATTAGTGTCTTTCAAAATAAGCTTCTGTATTTAATTTTGAGTTTATCAGTTCAGTAAGTTTTGGTGGCTTACAGAAGGTCCAGGGAAGCCAGCAGCGCCGATCGGACCGGCGTCACCAGTAGAACCCTGTTGACATCATCACAGACAGAAGAAATGGAAACATGGTGAGTACAATAAAGACCAGCATCCACTGAATTAAGTAGAAATGTTAAAATAAATGTTCTTCTGACAGCAATTCCTCTGGAGCCTCGGCGTCCTGCAGGTCCTGGTGGTCCGGTTTCACCCTGAAATAAAGGATAAAGGATGAAGGTTCTGTCATAGGTTTATTATAGATCTTATGTATTTGCTTTTGTTTCAAGGTCAAGCTGCTACGACTCCGTTTTACTAAAATACTGTTAATGTGCCGCTTTGATGTAACTGCAAATGAAAACTGTCAAATTTCGGGCCAAACTTTCCAGATATAGGCATCTTTTGGTCTTAGAACAGGCGTATTTGTGTGTTAAGAACTTTACCAGATAAGATCTCTTGACTGTGACTGACTGTCATTGAAGCCCATAAAGTCTTGAAATAACCTAAGACACTTAAAACTACAGTTTTTGCAGCATTGTGGTTAACAGCTAATAAAATGATTACATTTCCTGGTAAAAATCAAGTTAAATATGTTTCAGGGCTCACCTTCTCTCCATTTGGACCACTGGAACCAGCAGGTCCAACAGGACCAGCAAGCCCCTGTTTTGATAAAATAAAAAATATAGAGTACTGTTTTAGACAAAAGAAAATGATTTTTTTCCCTACTCTCAGTGCCATCAGGTGAAACAGTCTGCGGTATTGTCTGTCAGGTTGAGGCGACTCACCCTCGCTCCATCAGCTCCTGCTTTGCCTTCAGTACCTTTGTCTCCAACAGAACCCTGTTCAAGGACAGATCAGCAGCTCAGGATCACTCACAGCCTTACAGTTTACCCCCATGACAACTGGTATCTCTGTTTCTTTGCAGACGATATAATCATATTCTTTAACTTACAGCATCTCCCTTTGGGCCTGAAGGTCCTGATATGCCTCTTTCCCCGGGCATCCCCATCAGTCCTGGACCTCCTGGCTCTCCACCTGCTCCCTTGGGACCAGGGCTACCCTACAACAGAAGAGCACCATAAGGATTAATGTCAATGTGGCATATTTAAGTAATTTATTACCTAGGCTTTAGTTCTTGAGGTGTCAGCGTCAGTGGTTTTAGGATTCTGATACCTTCGGCCCATCTGGTCCTGGTCCACCCGGGCTACCTTTGGGTCCCTGCAGCCCATTGGGTCCGATTTCACCTCTTTCTCCTGGGGGACCTCTTTCTCCCTGCAAAGACAACCAGCAGGTAAAGATATACGACTAACCCCTACTGCACTGCTTAGAGACAACATACAGTACAAGCAGAATCACTACGATGTCAAATGAGTCAAAAATATATAATTTTTTTTTTGGGGGGGGGGTTTATCCAAAGACATTTATGTTGCATCTATAAATGTCATCTCTCCAACACATTTTGTATTCAGGCAGCCCCATATCATCTCTACACCTCCGTGCCTCACTGTCAGGACCATGTATTCACTGTAGTGGTCCTGGTCAGGTTCACATCACACATGTTGGACTCAAATTTTTCTTCTGACCAGAGAACGTTCTTCTAACATTCATCAGGCTTTTTTCATATTCTTTAGCAAAGTTTCATCTTTAATAGCAACAAGGTTTTTTATGTCCTCGGTCCATAGAGGCTGATGTTATGAACTGTGTCCTTCACACTGTCTGAGCTTCACTGAAACTGGATTTTCAATATAGTCTGATTAAAGTATTTGTTTTTGATCATCAGAGGAAATATTTGGCTGTTCGATTTAGAAGTAATGCAGCTATTGAGTGGTGGTAATGATAGTAATAATATGTGATAATAATGGATAAATACTGACTAAGAGCTGCATCCTTAATCAGGGTTGGGAACAGTAATTATCAGGACTTACTCTTGGACCTGTAGTTCCGACGGCACCAACCTCTCCGGCAAGACCCTGCAAAGAAAAAAAACAAACATTATGCCCAACGTATTTCATTAAAAAAACAATATACACATACTCTTGTACTACATAACGTCAGCATTGTTTCAGACTGATGTGATGCTACTTAGTCGTACCTCATCACCTGGTTTTCCAGACTCTCCAGGTGGACCTGGTTGTCCAGGCAAACCCTGAAAACAGTTTCATTTGAGAATATTGACAGTAACAGACAGAAATATCAACCTGATCATAACAGGCTGGTGTATTTAAATCCGGTTCAGACTCATCTGGATCTGGTGCAAATTCGTCATTAATTTACGATTTCACGAACATGAGTATGAACATCTTAACAGATCTTTAGAATTATGGGATGCAGCGTACCTGGAACCCGTTGACTCCCTGAGGTCCCTGCTCTCCTCTCTTTCCTGCTGGACCCTGCAGAAGCACAAATTCAATATAACACGATATATAAACCTCATACATTCACATCAATAACGAGATTCATCAGAGTTAGATGCTCACAGCTGGACCCGCTGGACCGGCGGCGCCTCCCTCGCCGTCTTTTCCGTTTGGTCCCTGGAGACAAGTTCAAGTATCAGTACATTAGTACCTTAATGGAGAGAGTGGATTAAATTATAATAAGAGTATAAATAAGTCACCCTTTGACCAGGAGATCCAGGACTTCCAGCCTCTCCGATCTTACCAGCGTCACCCTAAAAATGAACACACATCAGCATCTGTTGTGTGACTGTGGAGCTTTTTATCTGCATTTAAGGTTCAATAATTCTCTCATTTTGTTTTGAATAATATCCTTGATCTTGTCACTTTTAAACAAGTAACTTGTACGAAGGTATAAAAGTCCTACAGACAGCACAGTACTCGTCAGGTTAACTCATTCATACTGACTGCGAAGCCCTTTGGTCCCGGCAGGCCCATGGATCCAGCTGAGCCCCTGTTTCCAGTAGAACCAGCCGGGCCTGGTTTGCCGTCTTCTCCCCCTGAGCCCTGGAAACACAGAGAGGACGTTTAGTTCAAGCCATCGTCAAACAAAAGCAGCAAATAGTGGACTCGAGGTGTCGTACCACTGGGCCGAGCTTTCCCTCTGGTCCCTGGGCGCCGATGAGTCCTGTGAGACCCTGTGAAATAAGACACACAAACCAGTATTTATCAAAATCTACTTATATTTTTATATCTGTTATTTCATTTCAGGGTGATTAGATGTGATTTAAGGCCTGCTTGGTTTGGCTTCTTCAATGTTTTTAGGGGAATCTTTAAAATTAGTTTTTGTGCCATATCCAATGAAAGAAATCGACATTTTTCCGTCATACAGAACTTTGTGCTGCTGATTTTTGTGCTTTTGTGGCAACAATTGCAAAACAGAGAACTTCTTTTGGTCACGTCAACCTTTTTGTAGCAGAAATCTTTCCATACAACTCAATCTTTATCGCTACCAGATCATCCTTCTCTCCTGTTCCTCGCACATTTACTCACATGCTGGAAACCTTTCTGTCTTTTAAACAAAGTGGACAAACAAACCCTTAAATTATAGTAAATGATCAAACTACTCTTGTAATATATTTGTTGAAAATGAGCAATAAGCTGCAGCAGATGATGTGTTAGAGTTCATTTTTCTTGTGCTGATACACAAATGTCACTTTTACCAGATTAATGTGCATCACAGCCCGCTAAGCTACCACTGGAGCTACACTAGGACTGTTACAGAGCGAGTTTGCTGCATCTGTTTTTCCGTCTACACCTGCAGCACCTGCATCGGTTTGGTTGTTGTGTCTTCAGTTTTAGGAAAGTTTTTTGACACAAATTCAGTTCAGTTTAAAGAAATACAGTCACTTTATGATATATTTCTGGGGTATTTTTATTGATAGAATGTGTATCTTTGGAGCCACACGTCAAACCACGTAAGTTGCATGAACTATCTGAGCAAGTTTGCGACATAAAAACGCAGCAGAAATTTGCAAAACAAATCCCAAAGCGTCTGTCTCACCCGAGCTCCAGTTAAACCCGGTTCTCCGTTGCGTCCTGGATCTCCTGGTAAACCTTTAGCGCCGACCGAGCCTTGCAGCCCTCGTTCGCCCTGAGCTCCCTGTTCAGCAAAAACAGCAAAGATGCAGAATGATGAGGGTCGAATAACGACACAGTTATTGTTAGAAACGGGTTTACAACGTGCTGTGAATCAGAAGCAAGATACCCAGAATTATATCATATTAAATAAAAGTCTAAAAAAAATAAATAAAAAAGCAGGACTGAACTGATGTGACAGAGATGATCGTCGCTCACCTTTTGTCCCGGTAATCCATCAGCTCCGGGGAATCCTCGGTTTCCTGGAGCTCCCTACAACAACAGCTGAGCTCAGTTTCCAGTCAAAGTCCACAGGAGTCGATGAAACGAGCTCGACGGTTAACGGATTGTGAAATGAGTTTGTTGTTCGACTCACAGTTTCTCCTGGAGGTCCTGGAGGCCCGATGGATCCAGCATCACCTCGGGGGCCTCGCTTCCCGTCCTCCCCCATCGGGCCCAGCGAACCCTGAGTGCCGTGGTCGCCCTGACGGAAATCAGAGAGCAGCCAATCAGTGGGGCAGTTAGCAAACACACACAAAATAAATAAATAAAAATAACAATCAATAAAATATGTAAAAAGAAATCTGGCAGCAAAGGTCCCAAAATGTTTTTAATTATTTTCTAAAAAAAAATTTTAAAAAATGCTGTAACATTCAAAAACTAAAAACATTATGTTTTTTTAAAAAAAGAAAAATATTCAATATTTGTATGTATTTTTTGTAAACAGTTGACATGCAAATTAATATGTTTTAGTGATTTTATGAGATATTATCTAGAATTTAACAAAACATGTCAAATCTGTAGAATAACATTTATTTTTTTTAAACTCTTATTCTCAGCTATATAATATTTTTCTTTTAAATACTAACAAATATCTGTAAAAATGATTTTTATACATGAAAGTACAGGAATATTGTGTAAATTAACACTTTTTACTCTGATTTTATTTAGTCAAACTTAATATACATAGTGTATCTTTTATATAACCGTAAATATTGGGAAAATAATTCTATTTTTAAATGATTTAATTTGTATGATTTAAATGATTTAATTTGATTCTACTTATTTTTTTTAAAAAAACAAAAAAAACCCTGATTTTTATTTTGGACATTATTTACAGTTTTGGCCAGTTTTTTTTTTTTTTGTTTGTTTGTGTATAAATTAATAGTTTTTACTGTGTTCTTATGACAAAATATCTGTCATATAACAAAATGAGTAAAATCTGTAAAATAACAGTTAAAAATTATTTTCCAGTCCTTAATATCGGTCTTTTTTTAATATTTTAAATAATAGCAAACATCTGGGAAAACCGTTGTATGTTTTGATGATTAAAATGTAGTAAAAATTCTAAAAGTTCTGATTTATTGACGTGGACATTATTTACAGTTTTGTCCTGTTTTTTATGGTTAACGTGTAAATCAGGACTTTTTTGTGCAATTTTACAAACTATTATCTGAAATTTAACAAAACCAGGAAAATCAGCAAACAAAACTATTATTTACAATTTTGTAGTTCTTAGTACCCAATTTTTTTTTTCTTCTGGTTACCATGTAAATCTAAACTTTAAAAAAAAAAAAAAAGAAAACCTATATGTAATATATTATGTGGAATTTAACAAAACAAGAAAAAAGCTGTAAAATAATAGTCACTTGTTTTTAAAAGTGTCATTTTAAACCAAAAAAAAAAGTTCATTTTTTTACAGTAAAAAACCCTAAAGTTGAACTCTTAGGGTATCTAGTTCTCAGCTCACTCGTTCTCCCTTCAGTCCAGCTTCTCCTTTGAATCCAGGAACTCCGACTTCACCCTGTGGAGCATCAGCGAAGGTCAAAGTTTGAAATGCACTTTTAAAGACAGAGATTTGAGTCATAAAATCTTTAAAAACGTACCAGTTGGCCTTTAGGTCCTGCTGACCCGGTGGTTCCCTGGGGGCCAGGGGGACCTGAGGGGCCCAGGAGTCCTGCTGGACCCTGAACACCGGCCAGACCCTGGAACAGGAAGAACAATTAAAACCTCACAGATACCAGAGGTAAGGACAGAAACTTGCTGGAAGCTGGTGTTTTCCACTTACTGCTTGTCCTCGTGCACCTGGAGTTCCGTCAGGTCCTGCAGCACCCTGATCCGAAACAAACATCCGTCACATACAGTCCAACAGAACCAGCTCAACGTCACATTTTAATGATGAGAAAAGGGTCCTTCTGTTAAAAAGCATTCAGTCCTCCCACCTGACCAATAGCTTCAGGATGTTTAATGAAGACTTACTCAAAAACTACACAGAATGTTTCTTTAAAAATCGTCCAAAATACCTCAAACTTCTCAGAAATGCATCAAAGCTTTTCCAAATTAAGAAAAAAGTGCCTAAAATAACTCAATAACTTCACCAAAATGTCTTAAATGAATTAAAACTTGATCAAAATGACAAACTAATCCAGAACATAAACAAACAAAAAAAAGAACCCAAATGACATTAAAGTTATTGGACATCAAAGATCAGCTGATTCTGAGGAGGTTTGGTGGACCTTCTTTGGGATTTTGGTGAGTTTATATGAAACACCTGCTGTCCGGTGGGTCCAGGTGGTCCCACGTGTCCGCCGTCCCCTCTGGGTCCCTGCTGTCCTGGGCTTCCCCGAACCCCCGTTGGTCCTGGTTCACCCTGTTCAGGTCAAATTAAAGGACTTCAGCACAACCTTTTAGTGAACTTTACGGACACGACTTCAAATCTGAGGCTTCTACTGTGAGGGAACGGACTAGAAAATGACTTTCATTCATCTCTAAGACTTCTTGACGACTCCAGCGTTTTACATTCTTTACATGCATCACACTGTCAGATAAATACCAGGCAGATAAAACACAACAGACTCATGCGTCACCAAATCTGACCAAACTCACCTTCATTCCTGGGTTTCCAGGGAATCCTGGAATACCTGAGATTCCCATTGGACCCTGGAAACCAACAAAAACTGGTTTAAAATTCAAATTAAACGTCACATTCTGGCTGCTGTCAGTTTAAATGATGCTCCAAAAAACAGAAAATCAGTGCAATAAAAGAAACATGAGAGATGTTTGATGCTTTAGAGCTGAAATGTTTTGTTTA